AAAAAAAAAAACTTTGTCCTTTGTCTTTCTCATAGCAAAGATTATCATCAGTGCCAAATACAGTATAAGCAAACTTTTTATGGTTAAAAGGAGATGAAGAAGAGAGGAAAATAACAAATATGACTGTATTCATAAGAAAAAAACTTCAAATTTGTATCTACACATGAACTTAAATACAGACATGTTTGTAACTTTAGAAATAAATTAACTGAATACATGCAGCTTAAGAAATCTCTAATCGCACAAATGCACATTACATATAATTATTCTAAGTACCAGAATTTTAATGCTATAAGGAAAGGAAGATCTAGCCTGAGATATGAACTTTATCTTCTTAACAGGAATCCTGCTATTCAAGCAGAACACATAAATAGTTGCTTTTGTTAAAATACAACTGAGAGTCAGCTTGTTTTGTCTCTCTCCTGCACAGCTCCAGACAATTTCTACAAAAGTCCTTCTGTGAAACAGTTTTAAACACAGATTGAGTGCTACCACTGATTTCCAAAAATAAGGAGAACAAGGATAAGTAGTCAAGTTGATCGAAAGCAATCCAGAATCAGGACTAGAACCCCTCTTGATTTAGTCTAGTAGTCATGTTGTTATTTCTATTTGTTTTCCTCTTTTTTTAAAAAAAGAAAATGGGAGGAGTTCTCTTTTTAATTTTGCAAGTAATCCTACTACCTGTCTTCTTTTAAATCTCCTTTTGCCCCAAGATCATTTCTAGACACATGTAATTAACAATAACTTGGGCAAGATAAAAGAAGTTAGAAGAAAAACAAAAACAAACAGAAAAAAGTAACATGTAGGAGAAGGTGTGTAGTCTACAAAGTGATGGGCAGGGAGCTTCAAGTGTCCTTAATGGCTTGAAACTACAATTTTGAAGGGGCATCACAGACGAGTATCAGAATGTGTTATTTATAGAATTGAACTTTCAACTATTTGTCTCATTTTGTGAAAAGCCCTTTCACTCCATGGATGTTTGTAAAACGGTACTTACATAAACATACACGATTTTTAAGGACCCAGAAAAATGTTAATGCTTCTCACGTTCTCAGATTTCCTATCAGAAGTTAATGTGAAACAATCACAACCAATTTTTT